AGATCTCCATCTTTAAGCATGAGGGAAAGATTTTTAAGGAAGCTTTTCTAACAGACAACGAAAAAGAAATGTCACCTTGCGGTGATGTTTCCCACGTCAAATAATCCTTTATAAACTTGCCTTCTAGTTCTCTTGTCAGGCAGTAAAGGAACTGTAGCAGACAATGGCAACAGAAGCAAAACAGCTTCCCACCACCATTGCATGAACGTTGGTTGCCTTTGTTCTTCTGACCTTACAGCACAGAACCAACACGGCTAGCACAGAACAAAATGGGCACTCAAGGTTTGCCATGAGATGCCTACATTTCATGACTCCTGTTCCATACAAGCCACAATTCTTCAAAATGCTGAATCTGGGAATCACAAAAAAGACATAATGCCATGTAATAGCAGCAGCAACCAAAGAACAAATGGAACCCCTTGGGCATAACCTTCAAGCCAAAGCATTACACACATTTCCCCAGTAAGGCAAAAGAAGAAGAAATCAGCAGCTTTAAATTCCTGTTGCTTTAATATCACCGTTTTTGATTGCTCCTGAAACATTCAGTCTTCTAACATTTATGAGAGAGCAAATAGCAAGAGTGTAACCACTGAAAGAGGAAAACAAAAGAGCAGTACTATGTATTTCTTCATCATCATCATCATCACTATTTTTAACAGTCAAATGGGGGAAACACTGGCTGAAAGTAAGCCAGTAGCCTTGTAACAAAGCTTAGCAGGCATTTGAACAATTTCCTGTTTTTGGAAAGCAGTGCCTTGTCACAGGGGCATGACCCAGCACCAGTCTGACTGGCTTCTCCACATGGACTAGTGTGGTGGCCATCTTGTCTCTTCCTCAGGCAGCAAAATGTCTTGGGGCGGTCATGTGCACTGCCTTCAGCTTGGCAGCCTGAACTAGCCCCTTCATTCACAGGCAAAAGATATGGCTTAGGGCAAAGTTGAGAGACCACAAAGTCCTTTTCACACTTCTCTGTTCCCTTGACCTCCATTCATTCTGGATGGTTCTGTAGCCTTTCTGCTTCATTTGGCAGTCAGGCTTGTGTCTAGTTGGCCCTAACCTCTGGAATACACTACTCCTAAAATTGAGGCAGACACCAAATACTGTGAACATGCTAAAAAGCTTTCTTTTTATCTAAGTTTTTCCAGATTATTTTTGTTTGCCTGAGTATAGTGCTAGTTACCCTTTAAGATAAGTGTACGTTGAAATGGACATTTCCCTCTTTTTATATTGCACTTCATTGTACTGTACACCACTTTCATAAACACATATTAAATAACCACCTCTTAAATGTTTCTTTGATTTTATATTTTGCTATATTGTATTGTCTTGTTTCTGTAGATTGCTATACATCACCCACATGACTTCAAGTTTTGGGACAGTCCCGGGGGTGGGGGAAGAGAGAGAGGAAAGCGAGCAAGTGAGCAATGCGCTTCCTTCTTGTCTACACAGAGTCCAAGAAACCTTAGTTCCTAAGTGAGTAAAGTGAGGTATCATTTCTGTCTGCTTCCATATACCGTACTTGGCCTGGCCCAGCATGTACTTTCCTCTCTGCTGTATCTGTGAGGATATATGATGTGCCACTATTACCTCACAGTAATTAACTTTAAGTGAACACCTTCTGGTGCAGATGACAATGTTCTCTCACTTAGGTCCAAACACATGTCCAGTTCTTGACCTTTATTTCTTACTTGCGGTAACTTTAATGGAGGACAGAGAAAGGCATTGAGGTGGCTGTATGTATGTCCGTCAGATGGATTAACACTATTTGAATGCAGTGCTAATTCAAAATCTATGATAGCCTTAGGTAAAGAGGTCAGGGAATCCATCAACTACAACAACATCCATTCTGTGAAACAACAAAACCAGGAACAGTGAAAGAAGCCACTTGGTGCCACAGGATTTACTAGCAAATGAGTCCTTGACTCTCCTGGTGCATTCTGAATAGCCATTATTTTCCTCAAAGGCAACCATGCATTTTATGTGATTAACCAGTTACTGTTTTGGTGAATTTTCTCTCCAGGTTTGGCTTGCCATATTACTGAATTGTCATCATTACTGTTCCCTGGAGTTTCTGAAAAAATGATTAACAATATAGTTATTAAATAAGATTCCAAATCTCAAACATGTACACTGATTTTTTATTTGAATTGTACCCTACCATCTACTAAAAATGTAACATTCAAGGTGGCAAAAGTAAAATGCAAGATTTTGTCAATACCTGCCTTGCATTTAGTAGCTTTCTGTGTGGTGCACCTTTCCTTCTGCTTGCACTGTTTCCAACCATAACCCCAAATTATGGTTTAAAAAATAGCTACCAATTAGCTATCACTACAACTTACAATATGATCTGCCTCTTTAATTTCAAGATTTTATAAGCATAAGAGAAGTAACAGTTTATTTCTTCATGTGGACAACTACTTTTCTGTAACAGAAGTAAGATCTCCAAATATATATCTTAAAAATAAACATATTTAGCTATCTGAAAGACATGGGTATACATGCATAGTAGTTTCCATCCACAATAGTTAATTCAATTTCAACTCAAGCCATTCACTTGTCCTAACAGGGAGAAAAATAAAAATAAAACTTACTAATCTGTTCCTCCAAAATAAGCTGAGTTTTCCCTAAGAAATAAAAGGCATATGGTGTGATAGATACATTCATGTATTTCTTATTAAAGCATAAAAGTAAAAAATAGTGTAGACTACAGACATAATGCTGTGATATTTATCATTTTTTAAAGATCCTTGCAGGTTTTTCTCCCCAAAAAGTTGCTTCACAGAGGGACAGGGGAGAAAGGTGTGCTTAGAAGATTCCAGGGGGTGGTTTTCTTCAGGCACACAACTTGAAAAAGAAAAGACAGCTGGAGACTTCTCCATTAACATATGCCCAATTAATCTCATATGGATTTGCACTACTGGATATGAATGTGAATTTCATATTCAGGCTGGAGAAAGGAATGTATAATCTTTTTATGACTCTACATAAAAAAGGAGATAACAATCCTAAAGCTTCTGTATTAAGGTGATGCCCACAATATGTTGCTTTAGTAGTCATGGGTCTTACGTGGCTGTTTTGGGGAGGAGAGCTATGGTCGGGGGCAACAAGTCCATATATGCTGAGAAACACTGTGGTCTATGTGGACGGTGGCATCTGGACGCACCCAAACCCATGCTTAGCATTTTTGAGAGAACAGAAAATCTCAGGTATGGAAATTCAAGAGCCAGAATCACAGCCCCCCACCATTTCATCAGCATGATCCTTGCAGAAGGAAATGGAAAAGCAGTCAATGTGCTGAAGGCAAGCGACTTCTAAGAGATGATGAGGACTGGAAGAAGTCAGATTTCCTGGCTTCTATGTACTATCAGTGTGTGAGCCATTCTTCCCTCTTGGTTTTTCCCATCTGTTATAGGAAGCCAACAATATCAAGCTAAGGCAGGCAACCTCTTGACTTTTCTATGAATCACATGGTCACTCTGTGGAGTAGGGAACCTCTTTCAGCTCAAGAGCTGAATTTAGTTTTGGGGACACTCCTGGAGGTGACCTTTCAATTATGGGTGATGCTGAACGCAAAAGGGTGAGGCCAAAATACAACACACATGCCAGCATACTGTAGATTGAAGCTCCTTCTGCTAGGAACTGATCCTGATGAGAGGCACTTAAAAAGGGAAACCTGCATAAAAGCCAGAAAACCACTGAACTATCAAAGGGGGTGGAGCTAGGGCAAAGATGGCATAACCATCTGGGAAATCCTAAATTGGGATGTGAGCTTCCTCAGCCCTGTTGCAGAGTCCCAGAGGCCTCAGATCCCAGTGAAGTATTTCACTGTTCACACTGGATTCTGGATTCTGGATGAGAGCAAATAAACTGAAGCTGAATCCAGACGAAAAAAAGTGGGGCAGGGGGGAGTATGACAGATCTCAAAGCCAAATGGTGTCAGATCACCTGCAAAAATGTAGTTACATTCCCTGTGGACAGTTTGCAGCTTGGATTCCCTATGGACATCGCTGCGTTGCTGGATGTGTGGGTGGCAGCAGTGGCCAGACGTGTTTTTCAGAGGGTCGGGTGAGGCTCCAGCCACACCATTCCAACCGGGGATTGGCATATGGAATATTTCCAGATGTTCTGCACTTGACTCCCAGCATTCCTGACCATTGGCATGGTAGCAGGGGCTTGAGGGATCTGAAGTCAAAACACCTGGAAATCTACATTCTGACCACTCTTGCTTTAGACCACAGCCATGTGCTCTATTTTCCACAGCTTTCCAGGAATTTCTGAAAATTTAGCTAATATAGAAGAGTATGTCCTTTGCAGGGACAAAAGGGGGTACAAAGCATATTATTACGTGGCGCTTGAATCACCTGCATAGGTTTAATCTTCAGTCTGTTTCTAGCCACAATTCAAGGGCATATATATAACCATTAGGGTCCTATATGGCCTGGACCTAATTTCTTTAAGACGCCTTCTCTCATATGCCCTCCACTGCACCCTCTGTTGAAATTAGAAATCAGTGAATCAGTCTATTTTTGGCTCCTGTCACTTCCATGTGTGCTCACTCAGAAGCCCACTCTGTCCTGATCCCACAGTAACCTAGAGAGGTCCGCTTGGCGCCATCATTATATGCTTTTCGGTGCCAGGTCAAGTCCTTTTTATTTAACCAATATTTTAAAGTTAATTGTTTTTAATGGTATATTTTCATTTTAACCATGTTATTTTATACTCAGTCGTGGTGTAGCCAATTTATTTATTTTAGAATTGGTGGGGTTTTAATGTTTGTAAACCATACAGAGAGCCCTCTGGGCTATTGGGGTGGTACAAGTATAAATGCAATAAATGAATGGATGAATGAATGAATGAGATTTTTTTTAATGATTGTAAGTTGTCCTGAGATGCCATGCAGAAGGAACAGCATATAAAAGTTTTAAATAAATAAAAATAAAAAATATGATTTTTAAAATCTGCACAAAAATCACATTTAAATACATATTTTAAAGGTATTTTTTCCAAATACATATTTTTGAATGCATTTGATCTGGGTTTTTACTAGGAGCTACACTAGAACACTTTGAAAATACATAAGGTAAACAGGCAATGGGAGAATTACTTATGCCACAATTTATTATGATTGTGAGCTGCCCAGAGGTGCTGTGGCACAATAGACAGCATACAAATGTTATAAATAAATAAATTCTCTCTCCCTGTGTTGGAAGCCCAATCCATTCACGACACATTTCTTTCTGCTGTCCAAAGTCAGAGAGCTAAGAGCCCAGGCGATTCCCACAGGGACTGGGAGAGACTGTCCAAGGTGGGATCCCCATCCTTGATTCCTAGGATACCTGATCTATCCTAAGATCCCTGGGATTACACCACCAAGGCCTTAGTCAGCATCTGAGTCTTCCACAGGAGAAGGTTAGCAATAGACACGGGGGCAGGGGGGTTCTGCAGCTCCTACCAAGTGTTCTGTTGTTGGGGGCATATTTGGAAGCAGCAGAAGAAAAAGAAAAGCTTTCTTAACCTCCCAGAACATTCCAGAATGCTTTATTTTCTAACTGTAAGATGTCTAGCAAACATTAGGACACTAATGGACACAGCCTATGATTAGATTTTTATGGATTCAAGATCAGCTACTGTTCTTATGTTACACTATATAGAATATGTGGGTTATACAGTGATTGAGAAAATTCCTGGTACCAAAAATTCCATGGACCATGTGATATTACTGTTGAAGAACCATTATCAGTTTAATAGCACTGATCTCAGCACTGCATGCAAGTGTTGCGCGGATCTAAGTAGATGATGAGCCAGATCCATTACACAGAAGGAAGGCAGCTACAAGAGCAAACATCGGTTAGAAGTATTTTCAGGCAGCTGACAAACACACTGATCCTACCGCAGTGCTTAACTGGGGAGCCAGAGCTCTGGAAAACTCTTTTAGGGTTGGAAAATAGGATATAAATCCTTGAACTTGAAATGCATTAAATAAAATCCCACTCTCTGTCTTCAAAAGCCAGAGCACATGCTCCACAACATGTAAAGTCATAAAGCTGATCATCCTTTGGTATTGTGAAACCAAGTATTACACATTACATTACATTATCAATCCCAGAAGTACTTTTCCTTTCCCAAATTTACCCCGTGCTGCTCTGGAATAAAATCACTGGCCATGGCAAACATCTGCAGCACTCTGCCATGCTGCAGATAAGGAAAACAAACAAACAAGAACTATTTAAAAACTTTGAATAAAAACTTTGAATTTTATTCCTTTTTCTCTTTTATTGTTCACCAATCTGGAATCTGTTTAGATGCAGAATGGTATATAAATAATGTAAATAAATAAATAAATAAATAAATAAATAAATAAAGGAGGGTGGGTGTGGATCCAAAGCTTATCCAAAAACATTTGTATGTGCCCTCAAAGAGCTGGCCAAACCCACTACGGCAGATTGGTAGGTGCTAGTTGAAATTGTTGATTTCTACAGCAAGGAGAATGTGCACGTAAGAATGATCTGCATATTGGAAAGGCACCAGTGGGAACATGCAGCCCACTGCAGGATCCTAGCTGATGAAGGGGGTGGGGAGGTGTAACCATTTTCAGGGGTAGAGAAGGCTAAAAATACCCATTGATTGATGTGAGGGAAACTTTGAAGGGATACTCAAGAGTGCTATTGTGCGGGGGTTAAACCTGCCCTTTGCCCCTGGTAGTCCTCAACAAACGTAGCCATTGACAAACAAGTCTGGTCCACAAGGATTACTCCACCCTTTCACCTGCAGAACCTGATCTTGGGTTCTTTTCCTTCATCAGACTAGATGAAATGATGGCAGCAGAACTTAAATAATAGCCTAAAAACCGAAACTTAGTGTACCATCCTTTTTGTTTTCTTCTGTTTTGAATGGTACCAAATCAATCAAAGATGGCTAGGCAAATTTATCAAATAAGAACAGGCAACTGTTGAATTCCGAATGCAACAGAATCTTTTTTGACTTCTCTGGCCCTTTCTGGAGACCAGGCATTTCAAGTGCTTGACATGTATATGCACACATCAAATGGAAGCGGTCCCCTGGAACACCCAAAGTGCCAGAAGCCATGGGAAGAAAGGGGATTCTGTCACTCCTCATTGTGTTGACCCAGCTCAACCTTGTCTGTGATGTACAAGAAGTTCTAGTGGCCTTCTTCCCTTTCTTCTGGCTTCTCAGTCTGTTTCTGGGAAGATGAGAATATCAGCTCCAAACTGCTATTTCCTCTATGCTTTGCTTATCATTTACTTCTCCATGTCATTATGGAATGCTCTGATTTTTTTTTTCTTCAATCCCACCCCACCCATTTCTTTTCTTGTCAACTTTTCACCATCATATTGAGCAGAATTAAGAACTGTTTCTCTAAAATCCATTGGAATGCTTGAACAAAAGGAAAAAATGCTGAAAAGGTCCAAATGGCATGTGGAAAGAGCATCAAGCACAATGGTCTCCTCCGAATCCACCTGGGCCCTTTAAAACCTGGGTAAATTGCCAGGATTCCCAAAAGATAATGGTGTTTCTGACACAAGACAGAGAAGTGTCTCTCAGACAATTCACTTGCATTGATCGTGTTCTGTGTAGTCGTCCATGTCCACGTCTGAGTCAAAGAGAGAATGTCCGGTGTAATCAGTATCAGGAGTTCGGGAAAAGCTATTCTCAGTTCCTTCATCATCAAATGTTTCTGTCCTAGAATAAAAACTAAAGTCCTGCAAGGGCTGAGTCTTACTTGCCTCACTACTCTCTTCTGACTCATACAGAGTGTTGTCATCATCATGGTGCCACTCTGGCCAAAATTTCCTCCTTATTCTCTCACAGTACATGGCAAGGTTAATCAGTTCTCCTGGAAAACATGAGGGGAAGTGGGGAGAAAATTATTAATTCATTCCTTCAGTGTATCAATCACCATATAGCCAAAGCTCTCAAGGTAACATACACAATAAAAATACAATAAAATCAAGGAACAAGCACAGCAGTACAGAATTATGCAGCAGTACATATCTGGACACAGCTATTTCCATCCAGTTGCACTCAACAGTTTTGCTAGCATAACAGGTTGGAGTCTACCTGGTAGAACATCGAGATATAAGGATTATCGTTCCCACCCAGCATGAACATTAGCATCGAAATTTAAGAAAACTCACTAGTGAAACTATTTCACTGCTTCACAAAGGCAAAAGTATCACACACACATACACATATCTTTTGAGTATATCTGGACCAGCAAATTGTTCCCCATGTGTAAACACCAGGAGCTATCCTTGTAGCCCATGCTTCAGCACACTTATGAACCAGGGGTCCAGTTCACCTGTGTACAGGAAAAGTGGATTCAGAACACCAAAGAGATAAAAGGCTGGTTCAGGACACCAAGGGGGACTCTGTAAGTCCACCACTCTGCAAGAGACGCCTCTGAAAGGGGAACCTCTCAAGAGCCAGCACAAGCTTCAACTAGACATCCTGGGGAAATCACGCTACCCTCTCCTGGGACTCCTCTGAAACCCCAGAGCAGTTCTTCTCATGGTCCATCAAGCTCTATTTGAGCCAATACCTGAAGTTCAGTTTCTTTAAGTACGTAAAGCGTCCTCAGAAGTGTGCCTGAAGCTAGAAATGCAGTCCTGCCCACAACCAATTTATATTCTCATTGGCTGGAACAGAATCCTGGTCCTCTGCTTTTGGGTTGCTGGATTTTTTTTCCAATCTACTCATATTTTGCTTCTGTGCCCAAACTCTTTCCTGCAGGCCTATTAGTGACCCATTGAGATTTCTTAGCATGACAACTGGTGCCATACTGGTAGGCATTAACCACAATGGTCTTCATTTGTGGTTAGCTAATTGTGCAACAACTCTGTAGTTGAGGACATACCTTCTCCCTTATGATCCTGCCCTGAGGATTGATTGAAGGCAAACTGAGGATTGATTGAAGGCACTCCTGGTGGTGGGACCACTCCTGCTGGTCCTACATGGGTCAGAGATGCATCTGGAAACTACCAGGGCCTTCTCTCTGGTGGCTTCCATGTTCTAGAATGCTCTTCCAAGTGAAATTAGGCATGCATCCTGCATTCCTTGGCTTTCAGCGCTTGCTGAAAACTTTACTTTTCAGGCAAGCATTTCCTAACAGATGAGTACATTTCAGCCATGGCCTTATTGAACTATTCTGTTGTATTTTTTGTTTTCTGAGCTTCTATTTATTGTACACAATTCTGTTATCTTTCACTGTGAAGTAGTTTATACACTCAGGTACCAGTAACAATAATACTGTAGAAGTATTCACTGTGTACCTTTGACTTTTCCACATCTTGTGATGTTACAACCAGGAATTGCAATAGATTTAACAACTTGATGTACACAAAATACTCAACACTGGGAAGATGCACAATATTTTTATTTTGGTTCAAAAATTAAGTCAACAAAGCGACACATTTGGAAAAGTCAAAAGTGCGATGAATAGCTCTGCGAGGCAATGCAGACGTCTGTTGGAGATGAAATGACTGGATTAGTGAGTAAGGACCTCTCATTGCCCATTGTTCCACTTGATTATCACTAGAACCTTTTCCTGTAAGAGCACAGAGAAGAGAGAAACCTCTGACTCCACGCACAGGCACCCTTTCCACCACAGACACATTGCCAACTTCTTCTGGAAGAAGGGTATTTTACATATATGTCCCCAATTACTTCAGCATCATATTCCAGCTACTGTGGAGCACCTCCATGGACAGAGAAGGCCCTCTTCTTTAGACAGGCACTCCCCACAAGTTGAGAGTGAGGACCATGATGAGGCAGAGGGCAGGCTGGAGCACCCTCTGGCTGTGTGTGCTTGATCTGTATCAGCCTTCCCCAATCTTGTGTCTTCCAGACACGTAAGGATTGACACACCCAAAACTCCCAGCCGACGGCCCTGCTGGATGGGAATTCTGGGAGTTGTGGTTCAAATGCTTCTGAAGGCCACCAGGTTGGGGAAGGCTGATCTGCAGACAGACACCTCCTGAGCAAAGCTGACATGTGTTGCAAGAAAGCAGCACAGAAAGATCAGCTGACAGAATAAAATCTAACAGACGGCAATAAAAGTACAACACACGCATCCTGTACAATTCTGATTTTATTAGTGCAGCAGAAATTGGCAGGAGTCATTTGGAGAGCATTTTGTACCACCAGGTGGCAGAGTTGCCTGAGAAAAACTCCTGTGCAGAGCCTGAGAAAAATTTTGCAGACTCTGCACAAGAAAATATTCTGCAGAAAAATATTACTTTCACATAGGTGTGCATTTAGAGAGAAGAAGGTAAAAATGCTTTTGAACAAATACAGCAATCCCTCTTGAACCAGGATGCTGGTGCATATAAACTGTCTCAAAATAAGAAAATGGCAAATGGTAGCTTGAGTGTTATACAGATGGCAACTTTACAGCATCCACGCGTAAACAATCTTTGGGAGTTAGAATGCATCTACATTACACCGTATCTGTGACTCAGTTTTGCCTCGGAGTGATTCTACAGCTGCATGCTTTAGATTCCACGAGTGATGCACAACTGGCATTCTGTGCAACATGTTGTGCGTCTATGGCAAACTGTTTTATTGACTTGATCATTGAAAGGTGCCTTACAGCACAACCCAAAGCATGTTTAGACAAAAAAAAGTTGGATGATGCTGGAAGCTGTAGGGCTTTTTCTGTCTAAATGGACAAAAGCTTCTGCCCTTAGACGTTCAGTGGAAAGGGGAGTGCATAATTTTCTAAAATAAATGCATATATAAAGTGAATCCATGGTTATACAGGAAAGTGTAGAATCTAGACTGCACCACACCTCGAACAAATACTTGTTGCCTTATGGAAGTTCATTTGTTCATAAGAAGGCCATCCCTGTTCCATGCATTGTTTGTGGATATCACCCTATCACAGCATTACAAATCCCAATGCTCTCCAGCTGTGTTGGACTAGATCTCCCATCACCTCCACCAATCACTGACATGGGCTCTGCTAGATGGGGATGATGGGTCTGGCACTCCAACACTCCAGGAGGCTCCCAGGTTGGAGGATGCTGCCCTAGTCCCCTGTCAAACGTACTTATGTCTTTTAGCACAAGGCTTGCGGAAAGGCAGGAACAAAAAGTCCCTGCCACCTAATATAATCACAGCTCATAACCAATGTGTTCTCAAATGTGATTCAATTAACAGAAGCTGTCCTAAGTCCAGATACATGCAGAGGTTCGCTTTTATCTTGATTCTATTACTGCTAGTTGCCTCAGGTACCATTGGGGAGCGGGGTGGCAGGCAGGGCACAGACCAAAATGGTGTGCCAGCCATAGTTGTTCCACTTTAAAAAATATGGACCTTATTTACGTTTTATCCTAGTCCGAAGCACCTTCAGACTTAGCCCTCCTTGTGCTGCAGCAGCAGCGTGGTAACCTTCTCCCTCTCTCTGCCTCCCAATATCCATGAGCTGGGCAAAATGTCGGAAAGGGGAGACACACAGGCATCTCACAGAATCAGAGACCAATGTAGTTGGGGCTACCACCGTGCAGGAAAAGTCAGCCTAAACAGAGCCAGCTCCACAAATACATCCAGTTCTCCCTTCAGACCTTTGCTCAACCTGAAGAGATAGGAGGCAGGTGTGATGCTGGGGGTGGGGGTGGGGGGTAAGCCCACTGCCTCTCATTTGTAAGTTAGCTTTTCATATGGCTGATGCACAAACAGGGCTTCCATCTGGCTGGGACAAGGGCCTGCTCCTCTTTCCGACTGTCACCATCCTATCATGCTTTCCATTCCATAAAGCTGAAATTAAGTTGCTCCTACCTTTAATTAGTCTCTCAGGCCTAGTTCCTGGTAAGGTCCACATTGCCTGTGCAAGATGCCCAAAAACTGTGGCATCTAAAGTGGAGAGCTTGGGTCCCATGATGTACTTCTTGTCACCTAGAAAATAAAACAGTGCCCAAGGCATTTATGGGTCTGTTGGCATTTCATTAATTTATTTTTTAGTCACTCCTAACATTCCCACACTGTCATGCATGACCTTTATCTCATTTTGCTTTTGTCACCACGTTAAATAAAGTCTTGCAAACCATTCTCTTTTTTCCATGGTAGTAAATGCCTCCATGTGAGCTTAAGTGGACTCTGGGGGATGGTGGAGGACAGGAAGGCCTGGAGCAATGTTGTCCATGGGCCGCGATGGGTCGGACACGACTTTGCGATTAACAACAACAACAAATGCTTCCAAGGATGTTCGAGAGATGCAGGGGCAGCTCTCATAAACAGGATGGCTGGTGGGTGTGTTGCTGGGAGAGATTTTGTACTGCTGGGTGAAGCAGCACCTCTATGCAGTGGGGTTCATCGTGTCCCCATGTGCAATTTCCTCCTCTGAGGGTTGCACAACCAGGGTTCACGGCACCTTCACAACAGTGTTATCAACAGCAGTGCTTATTCTCCCTGTAAGAAGATATAACATCTATCCGTGCCTATGGAAAGGGTAAAGGGGTGCTCTCAGAGGTATCTATGGAGTGGGGAATTAACACGTTGATTTCACTGGTGCGAGTGGGAAGCTCAGCCGTGTGTGCATCAAAGCAGATGTGAAGCTTCTGCAACAGTGCTTAAGTACTGGCCAGAGTTGTAGCTGATTCATAGGACCATTAGGTTTAATTATTGGAGGGAAGTGGAATGACTCATTCTGTGTTCCAGAAAACATGTCTGAATCTAAGAATTCTGAGTCAGGTTCTCAGTAACACCAGATCTGCAGGCACCTTTTATCAGAAAATGACCACAATACAATAAAACGAGGGCTGAACAGATCGCATTGCAAATATGATGAGTAGCTAATCTCTCTAAACAGTGTAGAAGCAAAATGCAACTTGCCCAATTCAGCTTGACATAGAGCACATCTCATGAAAATATGCACTAACTTATGAATACTTGCAATTTTGGAGTGAACTAAAATAATTTGGTGCTGTCATCATGTGCATATCAAAACTATGCATTGGATAAAAGTGGCAAAATCTCCTTTAATCCCTAGAATCCTGGGGCTAGAAGAGACGGGGATGCCAGCAATGCCCCTAAGTAGGCAAGTGTGGAGGAGCCAAGTGTGGAGGAGAGGTTAAGAGGACTACACCAGAACCCATAAATGAAGTCCACTGGACACCACAAGACTGTTATGAGGCTACACTGTGGGAGAAAGAGAGTCACAGCCGTCACCTTGAATTCCTTGAAAGAGGAGTGGGAAAAAGCAGCAGCGGCAGCAACAGTAACCCTACCACCTGCAAGGGCCATTTTGTGTATCGTCTAACCTGCTGAAGATGTTCATTTGCTGAGCATCAAAACTGCATGCATTGCAGAAGCTTCTCGAGCATGAATGTATCTGAAAGGGTTATGAATGAACATAACTTGTCACCCTCCAGATATGCAGTACTACAGATCCCATCATTCACAATCTGCACTGTTTCCAGTTATGCTGACTGGGAATGATGGGAGTTGTGGTCTGGTCTGTTCCAGGAACCTGTGAAAGGGTAGCCCAAACAATGCACCCTCGAGCCACTCAATATATAGAGGCTGATTTTGTACCTTGTATCAGAATCTGTACCAGGGAATAAATTCTATAACACATCATACAGGAATGCTTGGTATGCTTCCAGGAAATTTGGGGTTTTCTGAAATGCAGCTTGAAAGCCCTTGATCTAATCCATCTCTAGGCTCAGATACTGAACTACTGATGCAATTGCCCTCCATATATTGACCCATATATTCTATTATACATGGCATTGCACTGTGTTACAAGCTGCAGTGCAAAGAAAAAAACAGCAACAGATGGCTCATGCAAATGAGCCAAGCTCCACAGTGCCTGTAATTAATGGATGAGCAAATTGCCACTGAGGACAAAGGCTTCACTGAGCTCCAGGCTGCAAGCATCCTGCTGGGCCTGCATAACCAAACCAGCATGTTGAACCACTTTGACCCCGAGGGCCAAATTCAGTTGCAGGAATTCAGTTGCAGAAAATCCAAAGGAGCTGTACCCCAGTGGTGCGTGGTGCTGAGGGCAAAGGGGGAAGGGCCAAAGGTGGGCCCAAAATGCCTGCATATTTTAGCATGAAGCTCTTAAGACTGCTACTAAGCAAAAAACAGGAAGTTTCCACGCGACTGGTCGTGAGAGACTTTGGCTTCTTTGCGACTCCAGATGAGCCAGGATCAGCTACAAGCCTGCACTAAACCTAGCATACGACAACCACCCAGGCTTCAATGACCTTCTGGTGTCGATGCAGAAATAGAGGGTGACATTGTCACGCTCTTGACAAGCCACAGGATGCAACAATTCAGTTCAGTGGGTCTTGGGTTGTGCAGGCCTGGGTCAAAAAAAGGCATCAAGGCAACTCTAGGAGACTGCTGAAAATGGGAGGGGGGATCTTTTAGAAGAAATTGCATGGCGAGCAATACCAGCCTCTCAACCCAAGCCAGAAATGCAACCGTATGTGAAGCAAAACGTAAAGAAAGGCGCTGCACATTACCCAGAAGACCTGCCAGGGAGCGCATGTCTTTCTCCATCAGCCGATAGATCTCTTCCTCAGAGAAGCGGCCAATGCCATGGCCATACATTTCCCGCTTCACAATTCCTTTGGTTATGTGGCACAGGATCCATTTCAGCAGGTCACTAAAGGGGCCACTCAGAGAAAGCATCTTCTGGGTCTCATGAAGATTGTCCACCCACTGGCAATATGCCAAGGTCCTAGAATATTGTACAGACAGCTTACAGCTACAGAGAAGATCATACATCTCTTTAGACAGAAACAGAATACAATAAGCTATACCAGCATATATACTGGTTCTATGGCAGTCCATCCCCATCTGGTACCCTCCACAGTTTCTTGACTACAACACCCACCATCCTTGGTCAGCATGGCCATAGATCATGCTTTCTGGGGATGGTGGTTGTCCAAGACCTTTGGAGGGCATTAAATTGCGGAAAGTTTGTTCAGACAGAAGATTCTCCATCCCACTGATGCCTTCGTGCTGTTACGTCAAAGCAGCCTTCTGCAAGTTGGTGCCCTCCAGTTATTTTGGTTTATCACTCCCAGAAGTCCAGACCACTGGCCATGCTGGATGGGGCTGATGGGAGTTGAAGTCCAAAGGATCTGGAGGCTGGCATGTTGGGAAAATCTGTGCCAAACTAAGGACATTTATTTTAAAAAAGAAAGACGTGGCAGCTATCTGTCAGACAAGACTTTCCCAAGGTGAAAAACTACACTATAATAATAGGCTACTTCCTTTCAGCAAAGTATATATTTAAAACAAACACGTTTGCTGACCTAAAAAGACTGATCTGTAGATATGGCATGCACAGCCCTGCCCCAAATCAGCAGGTTGGACCAGATGGTACTCTGGAACCCATCTAACTCTTCTAATTTTATGATAATGCAGCACAGTATCTAACTGTGAAATAAGGACTCAGATAAATTTTTCAAGCAAAGGATTGCCTTGTAGACTAATAAGAATATTCTACAGCAATGCTTGCCTGGGTGTGAAAGCTATGCTTGATGGCATTGCTAATTACTTCTCATAAATGCACTGGAATATCCTGCTTTTGAGAGGACTGCCTGCTGCTGGAACTGGGGGCAACTGCACTTGTTAATGCAGTATATTAATATAGACTTTCAGAAGCTAAACAAGCAAGCAAGATGCTCACAAAAGAGCTGCTCTCACATGCCTCATCACCTACAATGTTCACAGGGCTATTCCGGGAAGCACAGCAAATCACAAATTAAAGGGGGAGGAAGAAAGAACACGAAAGAGCCTCCTGAGGTTAGGCCTAGTAGATTTCCAACAACATTTGGGATGAAATATTTATAACTCTCAGAATCTTTCTTCAGTGAGGTCAAGTCAGTTCATTTACCCTGCAGAGTGTCTCTTTTTATGCATCTCCTCCCAGTTTTTGAATGAAGCTGTTCCTCTTATTATCCTATACGGGGTATGCTAGGGGAAGCCATGGAGGAGAAAATAATGCCAGAAAAGCTGTGGTTAACAGACAAGCACAGATCACTGTCCTGAAAATATGTTTGGTTCCTCCTACAAAGTGCCAATTCCTCAGAGCTCTCACTTTTACCAGCCAGTTACTGGAAATCATCAATAAGCCCACTAAATCGTCAGTAAGCTGGCAAAAGCCAGTGCGGCATAGCTTGGTGCAGTGGCTAGACGACTGAATTGGGATTTGGGAGAAACTAGTTCTAGTCTCTACTTGGCCATGAAGTCATGGGGTGACTTTGTGCTAGGCACTAATTCTCACCCACCTCACAGGGCTGTTGTGAGGATAAAATAGAGGTGAGTACCCCCATGTAAATGCCTTTGGCTTCCTTGCAAGAGGAAAAAATGGGGTAGGGTACAAATGTACCAACAATGACAAGCAGAACATGCAGAGGCTCAGTAGTTCTTCTCAGTATTTGACTCTTAAGATAACATAGAGAGGAATTGTTAGTAGAAAGTAACATTTCTTTAAAATATCCTCAAAAAGTGAATGAGCCACCACACTTCCTCAAAGTTCTTGTGCGGAACTGGTGGAAAGAGACTCCACCAGCTCAAACAGGCAGCACAAGGCAAGGCACGCCAGAGCTGTTGGAAGGGGGCTGGAAAGTTGTCAGGCAAAGGGGGAAAGGAAAGAGGGCCATGCAAACACAGCAGGAATCTTTTGTGGATCCGACCCTTAATTATTGATGGAACTAAAGCTACTCACTAAAATGGAACGAGTGAGGCATCAATATAGGCAATTTAAGGGAGATAACAAGCAATTGCTGGAACGGTAATGTAATAAAAGGGAGGAACCCTCCTGGCAGCCTCTCCCATACTGCAAAGAAGCAAGAAAAGGACTTTTAAGATACAGGGATGCACCACTGAGCCTCATTCAGCACGGCAGGAGATGGCAACAGAAACCGTGCTTCTAAGCATTTCGTCTGATTCATTCAGGTGTGCTTTATTTCCGTACCTGATTTGGTCACTGGGTATAAGGCATCTTTTGTCCTTTCCACAGTTTTATATTATGATTTTATGTCATATTACAATTTGAGACTATGGAAAGGACAAGAAATGCTTATGTCTATGGACCAAATCAGGTATGGAAATCAACTACTGTCAAAAGAGTGCAGCAGTACAGAGGTTAGGTTGGACTGGAACTCAGGAAATTTATTTATTTATTTAGAATTTTTGTATGCCGTCCCATCGCATAGCCTCGGGATGACTTACATAAAATAAACAAACATAATACTCAAACACTATTTTAATTGTTAATATTGTTTATTTATTTTATTTTTCGGGCCAGGTCGACTCATATTATATTGTTTTATACTGTTCTTATTTATTATTGTGAGCCGCCCTGAGGCTTCGGCGAATGGGGCGGCATAGAAGCCTTCTAAATAAATAAATAATACAAATAATACAAATAAAATCCAGTTTCACCCTGAAGAAACTCAAGACTAGAAATTCAGGTTCTAGTCTCACTCAGTTATGAAGCACACTGGGTGACTTTGGACCAATCACTCAGCTCCAGCATTATCTATTTCTCAGAGTATTCAGAAGGATAAAACGGAGAGCAGGAGGAGGAAGAGGAGGAGCAGGAGGCATAAGATGATAAAAGGTGCCACAGGTTTCTTGCTAGAAAAAGGGTGGGATTTAAATACACATACACGCACACACAACCCTCCTTCATGGATCACTGCCTTGTCGTGGCGAAGGGGCTTGCGTAGCTCAATGAAGCAATGGGCTATGCCGTGCAGGGCCACCCAAGACGGACAGGTCATAGCAGAGAGCTCTGACAAAACGTGATCCACTGGAGAAAGACACAGCAACCCACTCCAGTATCCTTGCCATGAAAACCCCATGGACAGAAGCATAGAGATAAAAAATATGACACCGGAAGATGAGCCCCTCAGGGCGGAAGGTGTCCAGTGTGCTACTGGGGAAGAGCAGAGGACTAGTACTAGTAGCGCCAGAAAGAATGAAGCGAGTGGGTCAAAGCCGAAAGGACACTCAGTTGCAGATGCATCTGGTGGTGAAAGGAAAGTCCGATGCTGCGAAGATCTATACTCATTAGGAACCTGGAATGTAAGATCCATGAATCAAGGCAAGCTGGATGTGGTCAACAAGAGATGACAAGACTGAACATCGACATCTTAGGAATCAGTGACTAAAATGGACAGGAATGGGTGAATTTAATTCAGATGACCTTCAGGTATACTAGTGCGGGCAAGAATCCCTCAGAAGAAATGGAGTAGCCTTCATAATCAATAAAAAAGTAGGAAAAGCAGTACTGGGATACAATCTCCAAAATGACAGAATGATCTCAGTTCGAATCCAAGGAAAACCATTCAACATCACAATAGTCCAAGTCTATGCCCCAACCACTGGTGCTGAAGAGGCTGAAGTTGACCGGTTCTGTGAAGACCTACAACACCTTCTAGAATTAACACCAAAAAACGATGTCCTTATCATCATGGGGGATTGGAATGCTAAAGTAGGAAGCCAAAAGATAAC